GACAATTGTGTCAAAAAAGAAGCAATTACAAGGGAATAATGAAAAGATTTGTTTTTAAAGTGGGAATGACAGACCTTTTGGAACTGGTTCACTGCCATGGAGCAAAGGCGAATCACAAACCGGTTTAAATGTACGTGGGAATGAGCCCTAGGATTTGTAGTTCAGTGTGGCATAGTGGGTTGAGTGCAGGACTGTAGCTCTGGAGATCAGGGTTCAATACCCTGTTTGGCCATGGACATGGCAAGTCACATGATCTCAGCCTCAGGGGAAAGCAACGGCAAACCTCTTCTGAACAAACATGATAGGTCTGCTTTATGGTCTCTGTAAGTCAGAAACAACTTGTAAGTCACAAACAGCACAACTACAACAACAGATATTTAGCCTTCTCTGTCAGACAGTTCTGTCCCACATCAAACTACTAATCCCAGGATTCCATAGGATGGAGCCATGACAGTTAAACTGGTGTCAAACTGCATTAGTTCTGCAGTGTGGCAGCAGCCAAGTTCTATTAATACAATTTATATCTTCCAAATTTTGTGTAGGACTACTAAGCATGACAGCTATAGGTTTTTCCAGAATGTGAAGAGATGCATGATCTTGCAGGCAGTATTAGGTGCACAGTATATTATTGTTTGACTGTTGCATATGGTCATACATTGTATAAAAAATGCATAGCATTGCACATTGTATCCTGAATTGCTGTAGTTCCTGAAGATGCTAAGAAACAAAGTATGCATGACATTAAATGTGTATTTAACTTGTATGTTATTTTAAAATGCCAATAGCAACTGATCATTATTGGGATCACACATGGTGGGAATGTAGCATTTGCCTCTTTCCCTCCTACTGTGATCTTGCTGAAAACAGCTCTTCCAAGGCTGCTAAATTGGGCTGGAGGGGAGGAAACTAGGTTGCCATTGACCTTGTCTGCATGGGCCAAATAAAATGGGCTCTCCCTGTTCTCTTGGCAGGGACTCTGGATGACGCAGGGCCCAATCCCTGAATCTGGTGCAAACAGTCTGGACAGCATCTGGCCCATTCAGCTCCAAACTCAGAATACACCTCTCCTATAGTAGATTTTAAAAAGTCAGTAGTTTCTCCCGATCTTCCCAAAAGATCCAGAGCCCTCCATTTTGATGTGGGGTGGCTGTTTAAAATGTGCCATATGTTACTGCCTGGCACAGCCACTGTGGTGGGAAGTCACTTGCTCTGAGGTCAGAACAAGGTGTCCAGCCATGTGATTGGACTGTCTGTCTTGTTCTGACCTCAGAACACTGGGAAGCGCATAGGGATGTGCATGGAAACATCCATCACTGGTGTTGGAATGGAGGTCCCAGATAACAGAAAGAGTTCAGGGCAATTGCAGATCCAGGATACTCTGAACTGCCCCCAGAGTATCCTGTCTTGTGCAGACACCATAATCAAAGGGTTATTTCCCTCTAGTACTGCTGCATGTTGTTGTTTTTGTTGTTTCAATTTATTGGATTCCCTATTCTAAAGAAAACCAGAGTTGTCTCACTGTCACACAACAAAACACAAATACCACCAACTTATTTTAGTATACATACATTGACATCATTCCAAATAGGTTGAAAGAGTGGTTTTTATCTGAGTCACAACCACTGAAGCTTTTCTTCCCTAGCTGTTAAAATCCCAATAATTATCAAAAGTACACATGCACACACATGCACAAACCATCAACACCCTACGTTGGTTTCAAATTTGTCTTGCAGGCAATAATAGCTGAGACATCGTTTCAAACAGGCTTTCTTTCCCCTTGAGATTTTTTTAAATCCACTTGCACTGAAAATAGACATGTTCTCCAGTGAACTGTGCCTGCTTTTCCCTGAGATATATAAGATAGCTTGTATTAAACTTAGGGGTTGGAGTCTATAATTTAATTCCCTGTCCTTCAGACAGCATGGGTTCATCAGAACCCTTGCTCCAAGAACTCTAACTGAAGCCAGAGTGTTAGATACAACTGTTGTCCTATACGGCATCTGAATATCAATGCCTTTTCTGATTATTCACTTTGTAGGAATTGTCTTGCAAAGGGCCATTATGTTGAGCTTGTTTTGGAAACTGAGACCTATGCTGACAATTTGCTTATTGTTAAATAATTTCCAAATGTTTAAATTTTGATGAATTTGAACATTAAATTTTATGAAGGCAGGGATGGTTTCTACAATGTGAGGCCCTGAGCCAATTCACTTGTTGTAGCTTAAAAATGTAGGATGAACAGGGGACTGAAATTCAAACATAAGAAATCAGATCCAGCTCTCTGTGTGTATGTGTGTGGTTGTAGATTGCGATTTATATATGGCAATCCTGAGAGCTGCATTAAATTGAAATGTCTGCTTTGTGAACACTCAAGCAAATAACAACATCTCATTTTATTTCTCTTCTTTGTAGTGAGTTTTCTCTATTGTAAAAGTCTTTGCTCCCAGGTTGAAGTCTGTGAAAAGTAACTATGTGTGGATGAAAACAGCTTGGCTAATTATTCCTGAAACACAAGAAAATTAAAATACTTTTCTTTTCATATAAAGCACAGGCAAGCAATAAAAGTAATGCCAGGCAGTTAATGGCTCTTTTCTACCTTTCATTTGAGAGACCTCAAAAGAACATCAGGAAAAATCAAGGAAAATGCTATTCCCAGCTGGTATCATTAAACATGTTGCATTCCCTAAAATAAGAATTTAAAAAAACTCGGTAATATTCTGGAAGAATCCAAGTATAAATAACTCTACAATGAAGTATGCTTCTCTGGAGCTTTGGTACCTGCTTTGCTAGAATTCAAGCAAATAGGATAATTACAAGAGAAACTCAAATTAGATGATTCAAGTAATGTGCAGTGTGAGTTGCTAATAATTTCCTTTCTCAGACATTAGAAAGATTAATAGTACATTGTTTCAACATTACAAAAAAATTAAGGTAGTAGCTGAAATGATATAATTTAAAATTTCCTGAATGCCCATCTTCTTATCTTGAGACTGTCTTTGTATGCAAAACACAGAATGGCAAAGACTTTACTATTAAGGGATGACAATAGTGGAGATCCATGTTAATCTTTTGGACCAAATTCCCTGCCCCCTAAAAAAGGGAATCACAATAATTTAAAGCTATGCCTCTGCTTGGCCACATGCATGTAAACAAATGGAAGCTATTAGAAACCACTGGTTGGTCTTCCTGATGACCTTTTCCAGCTTGGACTCCTTCATTATTTAATAGTATAACCTTTGATTCTGTGAAGCCACTTCAGTGCTAGATAAAAAGATTTAATAATTGGGACTCCTTGATCAGTGACCTTTATTACATAGCTATCTCTTTGCAAGAGAAACTACATTGTTTTTCAAGTCCTAATTCACCATTTTAATTATGCTTTCTCCTGACCGTAAGCTTTTGTAGAAAAATGGAAAGGTCAAACATATTGTTGTTCTGTAGAGATTAAAATTTAAATTCTCTGCAGGTGTCATATGACGTTTCACAAATAATGGGTCTTTTTAATATATATCCAGTCAATCAGAGTTGCAGAGTCTTATTACCTTATTTTCTGGCGTATAAGACTACCTTTTAACCTGCAAAATCTGGGGTTAAAGTGGGGGGGTCGTCTTATACGCCCGGTATAAGGAGGTTCGTGATAGATTTGCCTTAGTGTCATCATCAGTTGGAAATGACTTGAAGGTGCACAGCAACAACAACAACAGTTTTGGAAGTCATACTCTTCCCAAACTCTATATTTTAACTGGAAAAGTGGGGGGTCGTCTTATACGCCCAGTCGTCTTATACGCCGGAAAATACGGTATGTCGTTCTTTTTACCAGCCAAGTTCCACAGTTGCAAGAAATTGACTGGAAGAAATACATTCAAGGACACTTCTAGTAACTTGGGGGGTGGGGTGGCAGATTGCCAGAAATAGTGCAAATTGAGTCCACTTTTAGGGATAGGGTTAGTGCTAGGGAATCATGGGAATTGTATTTTTTTCTGATACATTGAGCCTTCTCTGTCAGAGAGCTCTGGTGCCACAATAAAATACAGTTCCCAGGATTCCCTAACCCTAAAAGTGGACTCAATTTGCACTATTTCTGGCAGTCTGCAACCCTCCTTTGTGTTATACTATAAGCAGTTGTCAGGACATCCTAAGTGGGAGAAGGGTATTTAACACTGTGGTCTCTAGGGAAGTTGCCTCTGTCCATAATTGCTATCTCTGAACATGGATATTCAATAACTTTAGCATAGGCTTAAATACCCTAAAGGTATCAGATCCTGACTGATCTTGGAAGCTAGTCAGGATCAGCTGTGGTTAGTACTTGGATGGGAGACCACCTATAGATACTAGTTGCTGTAGGCTATATTTCAGAGAAAGAAACTGGCAAAAGCACCTCTGAGTATTCCTTGCCTAAGAAAATCCCATGAAATCTATGGGGTTGGACTTTAGGGGTATTTATTTATTTATAAGATTACTAAGCTCTGACACATATCTAATGAATTTCCATAGATATAATAGCTTTTGAATTTCTGGAAAAAAGATTAAATTGGGTCTTACATTAGTGACACATTATTATTATTATTCTACCAAGTGTTATTGACCAGAGTTTTGGACTGTTAGGGGGGTTGCAGACTGCCAGAAATAGTGCAAATTGAGTCCACTTTTAGGGTTAGGGTTAGTGCTAGGGAATCATGGGAACTGGTTTTTTTTCTGAGATATTGAGCCTTCTCTGTCAGAGAGCTCTGGTGCCACAATAAAATACAGTTCCCATGATTCCCTAACCCTAACCCTAAAAGTGGATTCAATTTGCACTATTTCTGGCAGTGTGCAACCCCTATCAGTAATTCATACTCTGTTCAGGAATCTAGAAATTGATATTGTCAGATAATGTGTCTTGATCCAAGTAGTGTCACTTTTTTTTTTTTTATAAATAAATTTTATTACTTCAAGAAAGATACACACACAAGCAGTAACA